AAGAAAAAATTTCCCCATCCAACCAATCAAGAAGTTCCTCGGCCTTCCCACATGGGGGTTTACTTGGTCCAAAAAAGAGTTCGAGGATGAAATTAAATGGAGATAAGGTCAAGTATCCGTACTCAACGAGTCTTAATCGGGAAGGAAGGAAAGAAAATGAATAGTAAATTCTGAAAATTGATAAAAAAAAAAAAATTCTTCCCCGTAGACCGTATGCCTTCATTTCCCAGCAGCAACGCACGCTCCAACTCCACCGCAGCAGCGCTGCTGCTTCCTCTCCACAAATTCCATTCCCCTGTTTCATCTTCTGTTCATCCTAAAATCAGCCGCAACCAACTCCAAGTAGAGATACAGAATAGAATCCTTGAGATAATATTCCCACGCAAAGGAGGGAGAGAGAAGAAGAAAGAGAAGAACCAGGAGCACCCCACTGCCGCCGCCGCCTCCGCCGCCTCTCAATGCAAAACCCCTACAACGACGCTTTCAAGCACAACCGCCGCGGAGGTCGCCAACGGCATCAGCCGTCGTCGATCTCTAGGCCATTGCCTGGTCAGGTGGCATTTCGTATAGTCTGCCACGCTTCTTTAGTTGGCGGTGTCATCGGGAGCTCCGGCTCCGTGGTGAAGCAGCTCTGTCGGGAGACTTCCTCGCGAATCCACTTCGAGGAGGGGGTTCATGGCTCGGATCATAGGGTGATACTCATAATCGGATCCGGATCGGTAGATAGGATGATCCGATTGAGCGAGAGCGAGAGCGAGGAATGTGATGTGTCGTGTGCTCAAGAGGCGATGATTAGGGTTTTTGAGCGACTTTGGGAGGTTGAGGCGGAGAGAGACCGTGCTGGTGCTGGTGCTAGTACTGGTGTCGCGTGTGGTCGCGTGGAGGAGGAGGCTTACTGTGGGTTGCTTGCCAATACGACGCAGATTGGCGCCGTGGTGGGGAAAGGAGGGAAGAACGTCACTAGCATGAGGCAGTTGAGTGGAGCTAAGATCAGGATCATGACTGCTCCATCTTGCGCGAGAAAGGACGATGAATTGATCCAGGTGAGGGTTTTCTGCTTAGTTTGGACCTCTTCTATTTTGTTCTCGCTCGCATTCCATTATTAGAATTTAAGAATTCATGTGCATGTAGATTCTGCTCCAATGTAATAGTGCTTATTTTTTTCCAAGTGGAATACGTATCATAAGATAATACATATGCAAATATACTATAGATGTATAATTATTACGTTAGGTGAAATTTTGTTGCATAACTAGCTTTTTTATCTTGGCAACAAGGGATTTTTAAAGTATCTGTTGCTCTTTTTTCTCGAGGGAGGTACTGCATTTCTCTTGATTTGACCTCAATTCCAACTTACTTTCCATCAGGTGTAAAATAACTATCCTTTCTTACCTTGGGGAGGTTGTAATAATAGAAACCTCCTTTTGCTGTATTGATATTCTGGGATACTATAAGCGAATATTAATTGATGTGAGTGCATGTCTGTACTTTGGGTTACCAATTATGCATGTATGAGCATATTTAGTGAGTGGGACAAGTTTTACCCATGCATTTGGAAACAACTAATATCACCAGTCAATCTTCCAATTTCTTGTTTGCATTTTTTTTTTTGGGGGGGGTTGTGGCAGATTACAGGTCGCACTTTGGCTGTCAAGAAAGCCCTGGTTGCTGTATCTAGATGTCTTCTACGTTGCCCGCCACTGGATAGAGATCCACTACCCTCAAGTAGACTCACAGAACCTGTTGTTGCTGAGAAAGCTTCACATGAGGCTTTCCCTGATCCATATGCCGAACTTTTTCCTCACCTTAGCTCACTGTTGCCTCCTCTGTTAATAAATTCTGGTAGTAGTGCTTCAAATGCCTGCTTGCCATCCATGAATATTGATGGAGATCCCACATTGGACAAGAATGGTACATGGAAAGAAGTTATATTTAGACTGCTCTGTTCCAATGCGGCTGCTGGGGCCATTATTGGTAAGAAGGGGGCCATCGTCAGAGCTCTACAAAATCTATCAGGTGCTGCTATAACATTTGCAGCTCATGTGGTTCGGTCTGGAGAGCGTGTTGTCACCATATCTGCATTCGAGGTTAGTCATGCAGCTGTCATTCTTGGTGTCTTATTAATGTTAGAAGTACTGTTCTCATGTTTCTTGTCTATGAATTTCTTGCATACATATGGTACTTATGCAGACAAAATTGTGCTTGTACACCCACCTTGTTTCTTTTATTGATCTCTGTTCGCTTTATCTTTAATAGGACCTTGAGTCATGGTACTCTCCTGCACAAACTGCTGTTATTCTTGTCTTTGCAAGATCTATTGAGGCAGACATTGACAAGGGACTTCTATCTGGCTTGAGTAAGGGTACGTCTGTAACTGCCAGGCTTCTGGTTACTTCTGACATAGTGAGTTGCTTGAATGGCAATGGAGGCCAGGTGCTCTCTGAAATAATTGAAGTCACTGGTGCTCATGTACAAATACTGGAGGAGGACTTGGTACTTGATAGTGTTCCACAAAGTGTAGTAGTACAGGTGTGAATGAATGTTATTTTTTTAGTCTTTGTTATTGTAGTCATTGGGAAGAAAAAGGGGGCGGCTTCTTAAAATTTTCATCTTTTTAATTTCAGTAGAAGCTAGATACGTAATAAGAGCCCAGATACTGTTGATATGAACTTTTAATATTGTCACGGACTACTTTACATTTTTTTAAATAGCATCCTGCATTCAGAGTATGCATGGTCTTCAAATTTAGAATCTTTTACAAGCATTCTTTTTCCTTTTCTATTACGTATTAACCTGGTTTTTAATGTTTGAGAATGTTACTGCAACAGGTTAGAAGGGTTAGGAACACCTAATAGTTGGCGCATCCTGAAGGAGATTTCATTTTTGTTTTGTTTACTTTGGCAGATAACTGGCGAGTATAAGAGTGTGCAGGATGCTCTATTTCATGTAATTGGTAAGCTAAGGGATAACTTTTTGCCCCCTGATGTGGTTAATGAGGTGAGAGTGAGGAACCCACATGGAAGAGTAAGGGAGACCAGTCCACCTGGAGTGCACCAACAAGCAAGCCTATCACTTGATACTGACCAAGAAACTTTTGCTCCACAAGGAATAGATTGGGGACTTTCTAACAATATGTATGCTGCTCATTCATCAAAACTTCAGCTAGAACAGGTGAAATGCACTTTCTCTTGCGGACATTATTGTATTATTTTATTTAATGGCAAATTCTATAACTCAATCTGCATACCTCATGGATGGTTTAGCAGCAGACTGGGGGAAGAGGGCATACAATGCCCATCCCAGATTATGAGCGAGGTGTGAAAACCTTTGGAGGGAGTTTAGAATTTGAGAGATCAATGGATTATCTTTTGCCCGTTGAAGTGCTCAATGAAGTTGGAGGAAGAAGCCCTTATAGAGGAGCTTGTAGAGGAGTGGGTGATGCTTCCACTTCTGGTTCACATAGATCATTTAGCATATCTCTTGATTCTGCTCAAGAGAATGTTTTGGCTAGAGGAATGAATCATGTTGGTATCTCTGATAAGATATCTTTTCCTGCTTCACAAATATTGCAGCCACAACAGGTGAAAAGTATTTCTTTATTTTAGCACCGTGCTTTAACAGTTTTCATTGCCTAATCCCTTTACATCAAGTTGGTGTTGGTATGTGGCAGAGTGTGGGACGTAAGAAAGCCAGTGCGGGTGGTAGAAGAGGTGGAGAATTTGAGAGGTTAGTATTGTGTTGAGCAGACCATGGAAGCTGTGTGGCAACCTCCCCCCTTCTCTACCTTTCTCTGCTCTTTTTTTATTTATAATTTCTTTTTGAAGTAGAACTTTATGATGTAGTTGGGTAGTCCAAGCAAATTTGCTATACTGGAATATTATTAGCAATTTAAGAATGGTTGGAGTAATGATGGTAGCTTGGGTCTATTATGCTGTTCGGAAAAAGGAACTCATCACTGATGTTATCAAGATCTCAAGTATAAACAGAATTTAATGTTAAAAGGAATCACAACATCCTAATCCTATCGAACAATTTTTTCTGACTGTCAATTACAGTTGTTTCTGCAGTGGTAAGAAATCTGCTATTGTGAAAAATACTACAGTAGAAATCATTGTGCCGGAAGATGTTTTTGGCTGTGTTTATGGCGAAGATGGGTGCAATCTGGCTCATCTTAGACAGGTAATTATCGTTTTCAATCCAGAAACACTAACATCTAAGCATCACTTGAATTGTTATTATACTTTCTCTGAATTGTATATTTTGTCCTGGGCATCTATTTATGTGTGCTGGTAAAAAAAAAAAAAATCAGATTTCAGGTGCAAAAGTTGAAGTTCATAATCCTCGTCCTGGTGAAAGTGAGGGAACTGTTGTTATATCTGGAACACCAGAGCAAACCCAGGCAGCACAAAGTTTGCTTCAAGCTTTCATCCTTTCCTACCAGTAATGAGCGATCCCCCACAGATCATCACCACCCCTTATAATCATCATCAAATCAAGAGACAGTGAAATTTTATAGCTTGCATTAATTAACCTTTCTCTTGGGGGAACTACTCATCATGCATCTCTAGTGCTTTTTTCATACTTCGACATAGGTTCGGCTTAGAAACAACAACAAAGACAGGACTAGGTGTTCCCTGTGGATATCAGAGTTGGTGATTTTGTTTTCAGGTGATATCTTTTCAAATGAAATAAAAAATTATAGAGATACAAGGGCCGAATACTTATCATTACTCTTTTAGTTTGCAGGAGAATATAATATATAAAGCCTAGGAGTCTTAAGATAAATTGTAAATTGCTTAACTGACATCATATATTCATGATATTATTAGCCAGTTGCTTTCTTTATGGTTTCTTATGTTCTAGTTTTTAATCACGACAGATGACGGGAGCTGTTCTAGACTTTCAGTTTTCCAGAATTCCAGTCATCGGATCAACTTACATTGTTGCAGGTCTTACACCAATTCTCATTTCTCAGTCATTCATTTCAAAATTCAAATGCGTAATTATTGGGGATTTTGAAATGAATGAAAGAATTTGTATAAGACTTGTACACAGTGGACCTTGACTCCGATGTTGTACTGGAGATTTTACCTTTATTTTGTCTTGTTTTGTTTAGCATTACATTTCATTGCAATTTAGGTTGATTGTAGAATATCTACTTCATTGCCTCTTCTTGTTTGAGTTCTTAACGGCTTTTGATGACGGCTATAAACCTGAAATGGTGCATTTACTTCAGTTAATTCATCATAACTAAATACGGTTTTACTGTATTCCGTAGTTAAAATTTGAATCCTTACCAAGTAAAATGCCTGGGCTGGGCTGACTAAAAACAAAAATAAAAATAAAAATAAAAATAAAATGGAATGACTTACTTAAGAATCCCAGTCATCTTGGGCTGGGCTGATAGCTACGTAAGTTCTGTTTTGCTATTTCCATGGGTCGGGCTAAAATGCCCATGTATTTCTTGTTGCGGACCTTGCCGTGGTGCTGCTACCACTGCCTTGGCCCGGACGGAGTTTCTTCTGCATGATCTCCAGTCCACCCGCAACGAAACGACCTCAGATATGAATCATGCAGAATGCTGTACTATTTTACTAGCCAGAGAGGGAAAAAATGATGCAATGCCCTCCGCCGGCCGCAGCCAAAGCAAGTTAGCTACGTTCACATGAGCACTTCAGGTTTTTCCCATTTTAAAATTGGGTAATAAACTTGTTGATGGGTATATCAAGTGCGGTAGCGTTCTTGAGGTTCGTGAGCTGTTTGATGAAGTGCCTGAGAGACACGTAATCACCTGGGAATTCTATGATTTCTTCTTTTGTTAACCATAAAAGGAGTAAAGATGCTGTTGGGATTTTCGGGATAATGGTTTTCGAGGGAGTTTCTCCGGATGTATCCATCAGGATGAGGATGCTGAAGCTTTAGAGGTATTTAGATGTATGATCAATGGGGAAATAAATGCTAATGTATATACTTTTGCTACTGTATTGATTTCTTGCGGAAATTTAGGGGATTTAGGTGATGGTTACTTGGTTCATGACCTTGTTGTCAAAATGGGGTTTGAATCTGCTGTCCCTACCATGAAAATTTTTGGTTGGCTGACCCAAATCAGTTGTCTTATACAAATCTAATAGCAGGCCTTGTGCAAAATGGTAGAGAAGAGATGGTCTTGAGGCCCTTGACGAAGTTTGGAAAAATGATTCCTGTGAAGTAAGTCCAAATTCTTATGCATTATCTAGTGTTTTTCTAGCATGTCCAAGCCTAGCAATGCTAGAAGAAGGAAGACAAATGCAATGCTAGAAGAAGGAAGATAAATCCATGCCATAGTCAGAAAATTTGGATTGGATAGAGATAGATATGCAGGGCAGCACTTACTGACTTGTATGGGAAAATGCGGGTGCGCACAGCTGGAAACGTTGGTTTTTGACTCTTTATTGGAAGTTGATATTAGTTTCTATGAATTCAATGGCATGTAGTTTTGCCCATAATGGTTTTGGGTGTGAAGCGCTTGAATTGTTCCACATGATGGAAGATATGAGTCTTCATCTAAATGATGCAACATTCGTGAGGTGAGCGTACTCTTGGCATGCAATGATGCAGGGTTAGTGGAAGAAGGCTGCTAAATCTTTTCCTCCATGAGAAACATTTACAACATTGACTGTCTACAGACCGCCATGCTTGCATGGTTTATTTACTGGGATGCTCTGATAGACTTGAGGAGGCAAAAGTGTTAGTAAAGCAAGTGATGAAACCGATGTTCTTTATTTATTTTTGTGAACACCTCTCAGTGCATGTAGATGTAGGACTCATGGAAAGGTAGAGATGGTAGAGAGAATTAAGAATAGAGTGCTTGACTTTGCTCCTCGGGATGGAGAAACTCATGTTCTGCTGTCAAATCTTTATGCTTCAACAGGTAACTGGAACCAGGTTACTGAGATTAAAAAACACAATGAAGGAGATGAAAATGAGAAAGAATCCTGCAATGAGTTGGGCTGATGTCAATAAATTGGTGCATACTTCCATTATTTCAAAGATGGATTCTGTTCCTGTAGAGATTATTGGGAATTTGTATGTCATAGTGATCAACAACTATGACACAAGCTGCTGCATGTTGATTGATCCATGGTTCGAATTATCAGGATTAACTGACATAAGGGCCTAGATTGAAATGGTAAATGAAACTTTTGGAAAGATTAATGCAACTATATGTTTGTCCATCAGCCAAATTTATTTATGCCTACATTAAAGTGGTGCAGGAAAACTGAAAAAACTAAGACTCTTCTTGGAAAAAGAATCTCAGATCTTAACCTGCGTGAACTCAGTCTTATTTTTATTTTCATTACACTGCAACCAGGCAATATACATAAAGACAACCATGGTCTGAGACTGAGTAATTCTTTTGGGATCCTAAATTTGTTGATGCTCTGTAACGCGGGGATATCAAGATAATAATTTAAAGGAGTGTTGATCTTTATATAGGAGTAATCCAAATATAAATCTCTTAACTTTGGTAAAGTTTCTTCTAATGCAGAAAGCTGTTTGGACCTGATTTTGTGAATAAGCATTTTTTACTTCAGGGCTTGAAATGCAGGGCTTCTTTTGGCTTTCCCAGTAGTGACAGAACTGTAGCCGAAATATGCCTTGACGATAGCCCTGCTTCTTCTATCTGATCTTTGGGCGATCCGTGTTCAATGTATCTATCAGGAAGCATCATTGATCTCAACTGCATGTGCATGGAAGTTCTAAATGAATTAAAAACAGAAGAAGCAAAATAGAACATAGAACCAAGGAAAATTTTCTCAACTGAAGCCTGAAAGAAAGAATAGTACTACCTTTAGAGGTCCATCCAGAATCCCTGTCAAGCTTAAGAAATGTGATACATGAGAGCCAAAACCTCCAATAGAACCCTCTTCTACAGTAATTAGAATCTCATGCTCAGATGCCAATTGCCTGATGAGTTCTGTATCTAAAGGCTTGCAAAATCTTGCATCGGCTACTGTCACATAAATATCTTGTGTTCGGAGCATGTGTGCTGCTTCCAGACATTGTTGAACCATAGAACCATACCCTAAAATAGCTAACCTGTTGCCTTCTGTGAGTATTCTTCCCTTTCCAATCTAGTCAATCATAAAAGGAAGAAACATTTATTAAGTTCATCTATTCTGGTGTGCTGTTTTAGTTTCGAAAAAATTGATAAGGCTAACCTCAAGAGGAGTTCCTTTGTTGTTAGGTGGAAGAACTGCTCCAATACCATTTCCCCTTGGGAATCTGAAGCAGCTGGGCCTATCATCTATGGCTGCTGCTGTTGCAACCATATGCATAAGCTCAGCTTCATCAGATGGGGCCATAATCACCATGTTGGGCAAGCAAGCCATGTAAGTGATATCAAATGCTCCACAGTGAGTGGGTCCATCTGCACCCACCAAACCAGCTCGATCCATGGCAAAGCGGACAGGTAACTTTTGAAGATCCACATCATGTATCACCTTTCATTTCCAATATAACTTTTAGCATTTATGCCCCATAAAAGTTGAAAAGAAAAAGAAAAAGAGAAAAAAGAAATGGGGAAAATCAACGAAAAGGGGAAAAGAAGTAGAAAGCAATTCCTAGCACTGTTGCTGCCTCACCTGATCATATCCTCGTTGCAGAAATGTTGAGTATATGGCACAGAATGGCTTGAGACCTTCGGTGGCTAAACCAGCCGCAAAAGTGACAGCATGTTGCTCAGCAATCCCTACATCAAAGCAGCGATCTGGAAACTTCTTTTCAAAGTAATTGAGACCAGTGCCACCCCCCATGGCTGCATGGATGGCCACAATCTTATCATCGTCCTCTGCTTCTTTTATTAGTGATTCAGCAAAGTAACGGGTGTATGGGAGTGTAGGGGATTCGGGTTTATGTTGCTTGCCTGTTGCAGGATCAAACTTGACAACTCCTGACAACGAAAGAGAAATTCTTTTAGGAATTTGTAAGGGTGACATCTGACATGGGTTATGAAGTTGCAATCTTACCGTGCATTTTATCAACTGCTGCCTCAGCTGGGGAATAGCCTCTCCCTTTCTCTGTCACAATGTGGATTAGGACTGGCCCTTGTACTGGCATAGCCTTCACCTTCTGGAAGATGGTTACTAAATCTTCAATGTTGTGTCCATCAACCGGACCAATGTAATATAACCCTAGCTCTTCAAAGAAGGTGGAGCCAGAACCACTAATCATTCCCCTTGCATACTCGTCTAACCTTGCTGCAACCTCATATGTTTGTCCGCCAATTTGCTTCGTGAAGCTCTTTAACACGAGGATTCCAGGTCAGATCTTTCTTGATATAATGAGTAGGCAGTAACTGGGGATAAAGACAGATATCAGGGAAAGCTTAGAAGTTTACCTTTGCTGCTTCACGAAGTTTGCGGAAGTTCGTGCTTGCTTGTAGTTTGGTGAGAGCACTGCTGAGAGCTCCAACTGGAGAGGCAGGGCCATCAAGCGTTGCGGTTGGCAAAGATACCTGTCTATTGTCATTTAACACAATAATCAGGTTAGAATCCAGGAACCCTGCATTGTTCATCGCTTCATATGCTTGTCCTGCTGTCATTGCTCCATCCCCAATCACTGAAACAACATTGTTGTTGTTCCCAAGAAGATCTCTTGCTACTGCCATGCCTGCATTTTTTTTCAATAGAGTAATTGTTATGTCCAGGTATCCTCTCCAATATTTTTGAAATTTACATTTTATACAAGCTAATCAAATCGAAATCTTTGGTTAGAACTCAGTACCAAGTCCAGCAGATATGCTTGTAGAACTATGTCCTGCACCAAAAGCATCGTGAACACTCTCATCCCTTTTAGGAAACCCAGCAAGCCCTGAAGTTTTCCTCATTGTATGCATCCTAGACCTCCTTCCCGTCAGAATCTTATGTGGGTATGCCTGCAATTTTCTTCCCTTTTCAGCTCAATCTTTCAGGTGCATTTAACCATGTTGCACAAAAAATCGAAAAGTATTCCACCCTCACCTGATGTCCAACATCCCATATAATTTTGTCTTCAGGGGTACTGAACACATGGTGCAGAGCTACTGTCAACTCCACCACTCCCAAGCTTGAACTAAGATGGCCCCCTGTCTCTGCTACGCTATACACAATATCAGCTCTTAGCTCTGCTGCTAGTTGTTCCAGGTCCTGAATGTATAAAAATCAGTACAGCAATCAACAACATACAGAACAGCAGAAAAACAAGAAGAAAGTAAGAGGATCAAGTTTCCTGGATTTGAACGAAGAATTGCTTGAACTGATAAACAGAGAGGCAGATGATGCACTTTCTCACCTGTGTGGATAGATTCTTCAAATGAGCAGGGTAATTGACTGTGTCCAACAAGGGGGTGGTCGGCTTTTCCCCAGAGAAATCAATCTTCCAGCCTTCATTTTCTTTCCTTATCATAATCCTTCTTGGTTCCTCGGCATCAGGCTTATTAACAGAGCCTCTCACGCAGAACTGAAACACAAACAGCATCAATCAACTCCCAGCACCTTCAATGAAACCAGAGAGATAAGAGAGGGGAAGAAGGTGTATACCTGTTTTTTACACCAAAGGGCTGGCCTTTGGGGTTTGAGAAGTCGAGGGAGGGAATGGTATGATAGCAAAGAGCCACAAACCACCATATTCATGAAATTTAGAGAGAAGAATGGGAGAGAGTTATGCCGAGATGACTACTGGAATCAAATTTATAGTGTGGCAATGAGACGGAAGGGCTCCTGAGAGGGAACGAGAAGAAATTACGTGGCATATATTAAGCATTGGGATTGATTATTATTACCTCAACAAACTGGGGGAATTAAATTCTTTTTTTGGAAGAGTTAGGCCTTTTCATTATGGCAAGAGAAAGGTGAAGGGAGGGAATGTGGAACCGTTTCAATATTTTAATAAATATTTTTTATATTAATTTATTTAAAATATTTTAATTTTTTACCTAAAATTATAAATTTATAATCCTAATGTGATATTAAATAAATATAATATGATATTAAACAAATATATATAACATCATAAATAAACTCTTAAATAAAAAATTAATTATATAATAATATATCATATTATAAATTTATAATATCTTATAAAATTGTAACAATAATATTTATTGATATTTTAATTGTCAAAGTAGTCCTAATTTTTCTTAATTCCTTTCATTAATTGATTTTTTAGATTTTGTCTAGTTTAACAAGATTTTACATGTGCACGAAATTTTTCCATATCACTGAAACACTTATTTTAAACTAATAAAAAATTAGCTTCATTTAGGAATATACCAATAAAATAGTAAGTTAAGTTTTTTTTTCATTGGTTTGAGATCTACATTCATGGAATACATCAAAGTTTTTTTCCATTGATTGTCTTCCTTAGCTAAAAGACAAGATTTCCTCCCATGTAACGTGCAACCTGGTAATAATTTGGGGCTCTGTATCGGTTCTAAATCTCCATGAATCAGCAATCTTTTCTGGGTTCTGTATAAAACTGGTTATAGTTAACATCAGATATAAAATAACTCCTTGTGGTACGGTTTAAGGGATAAGGATGGGTGAGTTTGTCTTTAAAAATTTAAGGCAGGTTTGAATCTTCTTATTATTGTTATTTTGGTGTAAATAATTTTATTACGTCTATATTGTTTTCTTTAAAGAACTTATCTCCCTTCCCTCTCCTCCCTCCTCCCTCCTCCCTCCTCCCTTCGGTCACTATACTAGTGCAGGGTGGGCATCAACCAGTACAAGAACTATTATTGAAACTGAACCGATTAGGCCTTGATTGCCAATTGTTACCTAACTAAAACGGAAAACAGCCAACCCAATTGGTTATTTTCGAGGTTGATTTTGATCAAGTTTACTTCCTCCCTCTTTCAAACATGCATGAAATGATTATCTAATTTAACACGAGGAAAAGCAATCTTTCATGTGGTCTAGTGGTGATTACATTGTTTATTGAGTAATAGATGAAATGCACTTAACTTCAAGATTTAACTTTTTTACAAAACAACAGATACTAACACTTAATTTAATCATTTTTTATTGTACATGGAAAAAAAACGAAGTCATCATTCGTGGGGTCGTCAATCGAGCGGTGATATCTAGAGGTCAGTTGAATCTCATAAGAAGGTATATTTGTTTGCTGCCACAAGAATTTCCTGAGCAGTATTGCAAAGGAGATAGCTCAAAAGTATTTTCATGGATATGGTAGAACTATATATTAGAAACAGCTGGGAGATTGTTGTTAGTGCAAGTATTTGCTCACCTTAAGGAGCTGCATAACAATTGAGAATATTTGATGGTTCATAA